GCGACCCTGCGAGGTAGGTGGTTTCCCATTTTACAGATGGCAGGGGACAAGAAGGACACCAAAGAGATGTCCTTCCCCAGTGTCCTGCAGTCCAAAGCGCAGGGTCAGGATGCAAGGGGATTTAAGTCCCTGAGGGTCTGGGCACCTCTGTAAGCAGAGACACGTGGGAGGAGATGTTCCTGAGCTGCCCTCAGGTAACATGGTCCAGGGGTGGAAGGGCCAGGCCCTCTCTGCAGGACAGTAGGATGTCTCAGAGAAGGCTCCTTGTCCCCAGTGCAAAGTAGGCCCTGAGGATGACCTTGGCCAGCTGGGGGAGGACGAGGAAGAAGCCTTGGAGTGAGGAGAGAGGGTGGGAGCTCTGCCACTCTCAGCCAACATCATTCGGGTTCCCAGGCTCCGGGAGGAGCCCATGGTGGGGGGGGGGTGGCAGGAGAGGAGGCAAGAGGAGTGACAGCGAAGCCCCAGAGGAGCGGCGGGCAAGGTTGGGGTGCTGACCTTGCCCACAGCTGCCTGTCGGGGAGAGTGCAGCTACCGGGCTGATGGGAGGAGGCTGCCTAGCCCTGGGCTCCCAGCACCACCCACAGGATGCCCTTCCCCTCTCTGCGGCTGACTCATTCATTTAAAAAACTCAGGGTCCACTATGTGCCGTGCCAGGCACTGGGGATCCAGGAATGAGCACACACACACACACAGGGGTTTACATTCTAGTTGGGAGAAAGAGCAGATAAGGACAATGTTTAACTTGTCAGAAATAAGTGCTGCCCACAAAAAAAGCCAGCTGGGAGGGGGTTTGTAGTATTTTGCAGAGAAGGGCGTGGGAATTTTAGACAGCGATGCCAAGAAGGGTGGTCTGAGTCAGGTACAGGAGGAAAGGCCTGAGGATAGCATGAGTTTAGCCAGGAAGCTCACTGGAGGACCAGTACTCAGGAAGAAAACAGCCTGTGCAAAGGTCCTGAGACAGAATGGAGCTCTGGGTGGTCAAAGGACCATCCAGGGGACCAGTAAGCTGGAATAGAGAGATGGGCAGAGAGATGAGAGAATGTTCAGAGGGCTCACTGGAGTGACAGTAAGAAGGGCCTCTTAGGACACCAAAGGACTTCAGGGTATACTCTGAGCCCTCAGATTTTGAGCAGGAGAGCAAACCATTTTTTTCAAGTGAGGGGATTGGGTGGGATGGCCTTGAAGCCCTCCTCTGTGGGACACAACACCTTTGTTCACAGCATCTGGGTTGGGGAGGGAACTCCGGGGAGCAGAGGGGCACAGCTCAGATCAACAAAATTTTCTAGGCCAGTGATAAAGTGTGTGAACCTGGCCACCTTGAACGTCCCATCCAGCCCCGAGGCCTAGACACTTCTCCAGGGGCCCAGTTGGGGAATTTCCACTCACAGCTCTGGGCTCTGATGCAGTTTCCATCTGGGAACACATGACAAGGCCACTGGGCAGGGGTGCGGAGACCAGGAAGGGTGGGAGGACCTGGAGCCGGCTGCCCCTGCGAACTTCGCCCCCCCAGGGAGCCCCCTCAAGGCAGCCCGCTCTCCACTTCAGAGGGTTTTCCAGCCCAGGCAGCTTCCTGTGGTCACTAGTCCCCCATCAGAGGCCGGCTGTGAGTGACCAGACCCGGCACCTCCTAGACTCTGCTGCTCTGGGTCCGTGCTAAGACGGCCACGCCAGGGTGACCGCAGGGGCCAGAGGGAGACCTGTGGTCTGCCTGCACAGAGGCTCCTTGTGGCAGCTCGCCTTGGGCCCGTCACGGTGGCCAGGGAGTGGGCAGCCTGCGTCTCCCCTGTGGGCTCCCAGCTCCATCCCTGCCCTGAGAACCCAAGAAGCGCTGCCTTCTGGCTGTGCCCCTCTGGCACCCAGGGGAGCCCAAGAGGCCTCGGTAAGCGCAGTCCCCTCTGGAGGAGTCCTCTGAGGTGTGGCGGCAGGTCTGAGACCCCAACCTGACATCACATCGCCAGTCCCTGGGGCTGGGTGAGGAGCCCCGTGGAGGAAGGGCAGCTCTGGTCCCAGCTGTTTCCCACTCGCTACCCAACTAATGACCCAGGAGGTGGCCACTGCCTCCACCCCCAGGACCAAGTGAACACCACCCCTGCCTCATCAGGGGCACTTCCCAGGGGCTACTGCCAATCCATCCAGTCTCAGGAGCTTCTTAGCAACAAAATGAGACCTGGAGGCGAGAGATATCAGGGCAAAGGCCAATAGGGTCAGAGGATAAAGGTGCCTCTCATCCTGCCCACCCCAGAAAGGCTCAGGGGACCCACACATGCCCTTGAGGATCAGGGCCAGAGCAGCGCTGGCCAGTGTCCTCCTGGCGAGCCGTGCCATCACGATCCCGGGACAAGGGAGCAGTGTGGGGCTGAGGTGGGCGTTGCTGGCGCTCACAGCTGGCCCTCCTCGCGCCAGGTGGAAATCAGAGAATCTCCCCCAGCCCACGTGGATCCCGTGCCCCAACCTGCCCAGACAGGTGAGCACAAGGTGAGCGCTCCCTTGGCAGCCCCTCCTCCTGCCTCCTTTCTTCCTGTCTGTGGGCTCAGGTGACACAGGGGGAGGGAGGAGGCCACTCCTCCCATCCAGACCCCAGGACGCTGCACTTCACGGCTCTCCTGCATCCTTGACCACAGCCCGCAGCTCCTGCCATGGACAGGTGGTACCCAGGTGAGTGCCCCAAGCCCTGTCCCTCCCTGTGGCCTCAGGCTCTGACTTGGAGGCCACCCCATCACTCAAGTGCCCCAGGCAGCTCCCCAGAGGCACAGGAAATGCAGAGGTGAGGAGAGGGACAATATCCAAACAGAGGCACCCGGGTGCAGAGTCCTGGGTCTGCTGTGGTGTGGACAGAGCGTCTCTGAGCCACGGAGCTGGGAAAATGTCTGGTCCAGCCGCCTCCTCCTCAGGCTGTCTGTCTGTCCATCCACCCGGGCAGGAACCCAGAAGCCAGATGGCTGACTTCAGATCTTGGCACCCCCCCCCCCGCCCCCCGCAGCTTCCTGCCCTCCGGAGAGTCACTGAACTCCTGTCTCAGGGTCTTCCTCCAGAAAACAGGATGATAGCAAGGCCTTCTCTACCTTAGACAGCAGAGCCCCGATTGAGGAGTAAATTTCCATAAAGCGTTTGGAACAGTGCCTGGAGGAGTTCCGAAATGCATCTGTCAACCAGCCTGCTCCGCGACTCTGTCTGCCTGTCGGTCTGTCAGTCATCTGTTAAAATTTCTACCTATTTTTTTCATCCCTTATTATTCCAGAATAGATCCACAATGGCTTACAAAAATAAACAAAATCCACTGAGGTAACTGGTCTGCCAAGTGGGGGTCACAGCACTGCCCTGGCCACCTCCAGGGGTGGCGCAGGGACCAAGGATTCTTTCTCTGTACAACCAGAGCTAACTTGGATTCCACGGGGACAGTGCCTGGGAAGAGGTTGGCCCGTGGTCCGCCCTCGCTAAGCTCTGGTCATAGTCTCATGAGTACTTGTCACTTGGCTCTGCAAGCAGAAGGGCGCTGAGTGGGGTCTGTGGGATCATGACCTTCTCCCCATCTCACTGGCTCATGCTCATTTGCAACGGAGGGTGTCGGCTTTTCTGTGTCCAACAGCAAATGTCAGGCGGAAGGTTAAAGCCCGTCATTTCTCACCCAATGCAAACACAGCAGTGACCGCAGTGACACTTGTTGTGAGCCAGGTCCTCTGCTCCTCAGGCTCTCACCTGGGCCTGGCAGCCACCCTAGGTGGTGGGGGCCATGCCCACTGTGTGGATGAGGAGCCGAGTCACAGAGAGGCAAGCAGGTGGACAGGAGCCCCACAATGAGCCAAGGGAGGACCCGGGTGCGAATCTGGCCACTGCTCCAGGAGCACATGCCCTCAGAAGGACTCTACTGGCCCTGGAGGCCCCTGGCCCCTGCCTTGGCCCTTTGGCTTCCATTGTGCATTAGCCTCTTTGGAGGCAGATGCAGTCAGTCAGAACTCACAGGAGTGGAGGACCCGGCCCCGGAGCCCCCGGGGAGAAGGTCACGTGCCATGGGGGGACAGCCTGGGAGGGGGTGGGGAAAGTGTCTGACCCCTGAAACCAAAGACTGACCAACCGTCTCCCCGTGCCCCTTGAGGGCTGTGTGACCTTGGGCGAGGCTCCGACCTCGAGGTTCACGTTCATCTGTAAAATTGGGCGCAGGCAGGGCTCAAGGAGCTGCCAGCCAGGAAGTCGCTCTGTGAACCATAAAGCAAAGTGTTGCCTCTGGGATAAGCGCGGGCCCCTGCCTGAAGGAGGAGACAGTGTGTGCTGGACAAGTGGCATGGGGACAGCTTGAGAGCAGGAGTTTCATGGTAGAGGAAGGAAGCATCAGGGTAGCAGAGAAAGAACCATCAGTCAGGGATGGCTGGAGCCTTCCAACTGAGGCATGCATGCCGGAGGAACCTCAATGGATGGAAAAGATATCACGGGGCAGGGCCTTCCAGGGCAGCCGAGGCCTGGCCACCTTGTAGCTGTCCAAGGCTGGGGCTGCTGGTTGGCTCAGGGGAGTCCTTGAGGGCTAGAGTGGGAAGGGGAGAGTGCGACACCGGGACCCACTCGGGAAAGCCCTGATGCTAAGAAATAGGGGCCATCTTGCTGGGCACCATGGTGCATGACTGTAATCCCAGCGGCTCAGGAGGCTGAGGCAGGAGGATTGTGAGTCCAAAGACAGCCTCAGCAACAGGGAAGCTCTAAGAACTCAGTGAGACCCTGTCTCAAAATAAAATATAAAAAGGGGGTGGAGATGTGGCTCTGTGGTCAAGTGCCCCTGGGTTTAATCCCTTGTACCAAAAAAAAGAAAGAAAGAAAGAGAAAGAAACAGCAGCCACTACAGTGGCGTTCTTGGGCCGGGAAGGTGGCCACTGCTGGGGGGCTCCCAAGGACAGTGCAAGCTGAGCAGTCTGAAACTTCCCCTTCCCCCCCACGCCCCAGCTGTGGCTCCTCCCGCTGTGGAAGAACACCAAGGCTGGCCTGGCCTGGCCCTTCTCCGGAAACTTCCTCTGGGAGGGCTGGAAGCTGAGCCAGCCTCCCCAGCCTCCCCCTGGAGCCTCAGAGCCTCAGCGGGAGCCCTCCGTCCACACTGCAGCTTTCTGGTGACCAGGGTAAATATTACCTGGTACTGTTAATGTTTAATGCCCCCACGTCGTCCCCGGCCACCACACGGCAGACGTTCTCCCCAAAGCAGAGGCAGCAGGAAAAGGGTAGTGGGGACAGGCCCCCGCTGGCTGGGGAAATGGCAGTGTTGGCAACGACAGACGACGGTGAGTGTTTCTGTGTGTGTGTGTGTGTGTGAAGCCGGGTGACCCTGCTGGGGCCACCGCTGGAGGGGTGACCCCGCTCTTCCCTCTCCTGCCTCTCAGGGTAGCCCCCTCCTCCATGGGCCAGCCTCTTTGCTAAGAAAATTTGCATTTTGAAAGAGGACCCTGCCTTCACGCCAAGGAAGACTGGTTCAAAGGGCAGGACTGGGGGCAGTAGGTGGAGCTGGAGGGGGATGAGTGTCCCTCTTTGGCTCTCTGGAAAGCGCCATCCTGGCCAGTGCATCTTCCTAGGCCATCTGAGCTCAGGGTGCTCTGGGAAGAAGCAGGCCTGGGGGTCAGCCTTCCTAGGGTAAGAGTCACCCAAGTTCAGCACACACTCCCCAGAGGCATCAGGTGGTGGGGGACTCGGGCCTGGAGCCCAACAGGGGCAGCTGCTGACCAAGGCGGGTTCTGAGCCAGACCTAGAGGAGGGGGAGGGGCTCATTCATGGGTAGAGGAGGCGGTTTCCTGAGTGGGGAGGGGACTCCTAGTGTGGGTCTAGCTGGCTCTGACACTACCTCCCTGTGTGACCTTGAACAAGACCTGGACTGAATCTGGGGAGATGACCTTAAAGGCTTTCTGCCTGGGGATGGGGGCCTGATTGCTCACAGACTTCCCTTGACCTCTGACCCTCCTGAGCAACCAGGCACCAACCCCTCCTGGCCTGAACCTTCCTGACCAAGGGTCTGGCCACGGGGGACATCAGGGCTCATGGGGACCTCGAGGCTACCTCTGCCCAGGGCACAGGGCAGGAAAGGGGGCAGCTCCAGGGATGGCTGGCCACCTTGTAGCTGTCCAAGGGCCAGTGAACTCAGCTCAGGGGGAAGTCGGGCAGAGCTGTGACATCTGCTGGTTACAGGATTGGGGCAGCCACAGGAGGCAGAGGCAGCCAGACAACTTTGACTGGAAAGTTCTCTGAGAAGCAGCATAGCATCTTGATACAGCCACTTCCTTCCTGGGTTCAAATCCCAGCTCTGCCCCTTACTTGCTGTGTGACTGAGTAGCTTACTTACCCTTTCTGTGCATTCATCTTCTTGTGGATCATACTGGGAAATATCAGTGGCTCTGGGTAAATAAGTTAATGTTCTGTGTTCTGCTAACTTTAGCCTGGTACCTGTAAGTTCTTTATATTAATGTCTTTTAAGTAAATTTGCTCACCCCTGAGGATGGTAATGTAGGAAAACAGAGTCTAGAAAGGAGTCAAGCCCCAGTTCGGCCTCCAGCTCCCCTGGAACTTCACACAAGCCTCCCACTAGGCCCCAGTTCCCTCCTTCTGTTCTGTGAACTCAGAGGCTGAGTTTTATTCATTGGTTCATTGCACAGAGGTCTGCTAAGGGCACGTGGTGGACAATTGGTGGGAAGAGATCCTGCTGGAGACTCTCAAGGGAACAGCTCCTTGGCCTTCCCTTACTGGGGTGTGAGGCAGAAAGCAGAAAGGCCCCCAGGATGGACCCTCTTGGGGTCCCCAGGCAGCCTAGGGCAGGTGCCCCCTCTGGCCTCCTCCTTCCAGGGCCTATTGCCCAGCTTCCCTGGACCCTGGGGGACTAGCTGGGAGAGCAGGGTCTGGCTGGGAGGCGGAGGACTGCAATCTCCGCCTGTGACTTCCCTTCCCCTCATTCCACCTCTGGCTCTCTCCTCAGGTGGCAGCCCCAAGGGGGACGTGGACCCATTCTACTATGGTAAGCCTGGCCACCCACCCCTCCTCCCGGCCCTTCCGGAGTCTTGCCCTCCCCCACCTCCTGGCCCAGCAGCTGGCCCCAGCTCTGACTCTGTCATATCCCCCTTCTGACGGCCCCCAGTCACCACGGGGCTGCTGCTGGGGGGGGGGGGGGGGGGGGGGGGGGGGCTGCCGAGAGATGACTCATACCCCATGTCGCCTCTCATGCCCTCTCTTTCCTGAGACTATGAGACTGTCCGGAACGGGGGCCTGATCTTCGCTGGCCTGGCCTTCGTCGTGGGACTGATCATCCTACTCAGTAAGTGCGGTGGCCTTGTGTTGGAAGCGAGGCGCTGGTTAGGGCACAGTGACTTGCCAAGTCCCCAAGGGCGGAGTGAATCTCCAGCCCCGCCCGCTGGCCCTGCAGGACTGGGAGGGAAGTGCACCCTCTAGTGGGCCCTGGAGGAGCTGCAGGGAACTTGCGGCGGGGCGGGGATGGGGGAGGTGGGGAGCGGAAATGAGAGGGCCAGGCAAGGGGAGCCCCGCACCTGCCCTGATTTGTGCTCACTCTTAGATGTGAACTGAATATCAGCCCATTTAATCATCTGAGCCCCACTGAGGGAGGCCACCACTGTCAGCATGTGACACATGAAAAATCAGGCCACCCAGAGGGGTGCAGCTGTTCATGAGGAGCAGAGCTGGATTCAACCAAACCCAGGGGTGTCTCTTGTCTGACCCCGCGGCTGGAAAGCAAGCGTGGCTGGGAGCCAGACCCCTGGGCGCTGCTGTCACCTTCCACAGACCCCAGTCCCTGGGCCTCAGTTTGTTCATCTGTTAAATAGGGATGATCCCTCCCACCTGCCTCTAGATTAGGGCTTGCACTAAAGACATGGCATCAAGAACGGGCTTTAAGAAGGGTCCAGTGTGGACATGGAGCATTCTGGGTGAGAAAGGCCTGGATTTCTCCCATCCCCAGCAGGTGCTTAATAAATGCTTGTCGACCTGTTTTGCAACCAAAAGAAAAACATCAGATGCATAATTAGTGAAAAGGAGACCCCTTGTGTAGCAGACACACCTCTGTGTTCTAGAATGCTGGCACAGTCACACTCACTGTCACTGCATCTACAGGACTCGGTGTGCAGGAATAGCTGGTCTCCCCACTGCGCCCCATGGGAGCTCCTCCAGGGTGGCACTGTGTAGTGGCTGAGCACACAGGTGCTGGAGGTCAATGGGCCTGTGCAGGGACCTCAGCTTTGGGCTTACAGGCACCCTTCTCCGAGCACGTACTGAGCAGCTACTATGTGCCCAGCATTGAGCTGGGAGCACCACAAGGCCCAGTCTCAGGGGCCATGCTCGATGGGCTCACAGTCCACTACAGATCGGCTGCCTAAATATTTGGCTGGCTGGCTGGCTGGCTGGGGCTCTTGAATGCTTATTGTCCAGCCCCCTGTAAAGAGAGAGAATCAAATGTGGTCTTCCAGCCCCACACTGTGGTCATGCTGGCAGGAGGGAGGGAGGAGACTGGAAGAACCAAGTCTTCCAGGGTCTCCTTGGGAAGGGAGAGGTCAGCGAATACGGATCCTCCTTTCTCTTTTCAAGGCAGAAGATTCCGCTGTGGGGGCAACAGGAAGCCTCGGTGAGTGATGCCTGGGGAAACCCAGAGGGGGGCAAGCCGGGAAGAAGGGACAACTGTCTCTGAGGTCTTGAGAGGGGGTCCCAGCTCAGGCACCTCCCACTGACCGAGTCTTTGTTCCTCCCATCCCAGGCAAGTCAGTGAGGACATGCTGTAGCGAGAGGTATGTCTGTATGTCTGTCTGCAAGGGACAGGAGGGGCGGGCAGGGCGTGGCCAGGGAGGGGTCCAAGGGAGGAGGGCAGGGCCGGGCACAACAACCCAGGAAGAATCTCAGGGTCATCCGAGCAGCCAGGTGGGCTGTCTCCATCACCTGTTTTTGATCGCCACGCGCCTGGTGTGAAGTAGGTGACAAGCAGAGACTGCAGAGGGGCCCCACAGAGCATTAAGTCAGACAAGGAGGAAACAAGACTCCCGACCTCTGCCACCGTCCTCCCTGCCTGAATGCTGCTGTGTCCTTGCAGGGTCTGCTGTGCCCATCACGGCCGGGGGGCTGGCTAGGAGGCCAAGGATGCCCCATCTTCCCTGGGCTGTTGACCTTTGTCCCTGCACTGCCGGCTCACAGGCTGGAGGAAGCGCCAGGCTCGGTGTGATTCCTGCATGGGCGACTGTGTCACCGCCTCCTGCCTCCTGCTGCCCCCACGCCTCTTCCCTCACCTCCCCCCACCCTTCCATCCCATAACTACCACAGCCCCCTGTTCCCAGATGGAGTACAAATGCAGCCTGGTCTTGGTTTGGTTTTCAATGACTCTTGCCGCCACCCACCTGCCTGCAAAAGCAAGTTGAGTGTTGACCTCCGCAGGCGTCTCTCCGCTGGCCCCTGACCAGCGGGATCCCTAGGGACAGAAGCCTCAGTCTAGCTCCTGAATGCCTGACGAAGTCCGAAAGTCCATAGGTTCAAAGTCTCTGGGTCTTTTGGGTTCTGCTAAGGCCTCTGCCCGACACGGGGTGCTGCTCTTGGAAGCCTGGAAGCTTCTGTGTGGGAATTACTATGGAGATGTCCCGGGCTGCCCAGGCTGGAGCTGTTTGTGCCACATTCATGTGCTCCGCCCTTCCCCCAAGTGCACCACTGTGCCAGGCAGGCAGCTCTGCTCCCCCTGACCTTGGGCATCAGCACTCTCCCTTCTCCCCCCACCAACCCTTGTGCTCAGCTCAGGCCACACCTTTCTGCTCGTGGGGCCAGGAGACCCCAGCTGCACCCACTCCCACCAGCTGTGTGGGTGCTGGGTCCGTCAATCCAGGGCCCGGGGCTGGGTGGGCAGCAAGGGTAAGCCCACTGCAACTGCTTGCTCCAGCCCCTGTTGGTTCAGGGACCCACTCAGGGCAGACTCAGCCTGTAAGGTGTCAGACAACCTCACCTACTTGTGCCTACATCCCCAGTGCTGCACCCAGGCTGTTCAGGGCGCCCCCTTCTGGGAGTCTGCATTCAGGACAGAGCCCAGCTCCCCCTCCCTCCCTCCTCATACAGGAAGGATGGTGGGATCAGGGCACCCTGGTGTCTGATTCGTCATCTGGATCTGCCAGCATCCTAGGGGGCCTGGGGGGGGGGGCATGGGCAGAACCAACAGCACCAAGGACAGCGGCATGCTGGGCTTCAAATGGAACAAGCTATTCTTGGGACCAGGGGCAGGGTGACCACTACTGTCCTTGGGAATTAAACTTTGTCCTAATCCAGTGCTCCCAGGCCCTGAAGACCACCAGCCCTCATGGAATCACAGAAGGCTTGCTCCTTAGAGAGCGAAATATACACACCCTCATTTACAGGACAGGACACTGAGGCCCCAGGAGAGACAGTGACCTTGTCCAGAGTGACTCTTCCAGCCACACTGACACCCAGGTTTGGAAGGCTCCCCACCACCCACCTGTGCACCTGAAGAGCTAAGGGGAGAGAGAGAGAGGTCTAAATGGTGAGTGGGGGGGGGGGGTCTCCAGAGGAGCCCAGGAGCCATGAAGGGAAGAGCCTGGCTACTCATCTCAGCACCAAGGTCTCTGATGTTGGCTTACTGATGACTAAATGTGACGGTCACACCATTAAATAAAATATGGTATTACCATGCAGGAGACAGGGCCACACCTGAGCACCTGTGTGAGGGTAGGAGATGCAGCAGGTCCAGTTAAGAGGGCTTTCAGGAGGAAGTGGGCTCCCAAAGCTTCCCACATATAGCCAAAGGCAAGTGGGAAAAGGAGGTATTCCAGGCCCGGACCCACCCAGAGAGCAGAGCAATGGAGAGGAGTCATTTCTAGAACATTCTATTTAAGCCTATAACACTGAAAAGGAACCCAGTCCTGGGTGGTCACTTCCTGATCAGCCTGACTTGAGGCCTTCCTCCCTCTCCTTTTACCACCAGATGCCCAGGATCCCCTAGAGGCCTGCTGGATATGAAGCTTGGGGTGGGCCGGTATTCTGAGGCCTAGCAAGCTCCCTAGTGGCCCTAAGGAGAAGCCAGAGCTGAGAACCACTGCCCCAGGGGACATTCTGAGTCTGTGACCTGCTCTCTGGCCAGGACTCTTGGGAACATTTTCCTTCCCTCTCCATGAAGGTCACATGATCTGTAGTCACTGAACTTTCACTTTATTTTGGAACTTTCCACAATTCAAACCTGTATTGAGTCACAAGAACAACCAAGTCAGGAAGCAAGAATGAATTACTGTCCATCAAACAGCTGGGACACAGCCCCTGTCCGGGGTGCAATTCCCACTATCACCACCAGAGGGAACCAGTGCCCTACTCGGAATCCCCTCCAATGGCTTTTTTGCAAAACAGTCTTTCCAAGGGTCTTTGCCAGGGAGGAGGGGGCACCCGAATAGTCTGCCATGCACCCCGATTTCCTGGAAAAGCCCTGAGCTCTTTTCATTCTGTCTGTATACCCCATGCCTGCCTCCTGTCTCAGGGACAGTACTTGCCCTGCTGTATAGTAATTCTTGGCTGCCGGATCTTGAGCCCCACTCCTTCCAGAGCAGAAGCCATATATGATCTACACTTTCCCGAAGCCTGGGACAGCCATGAAACTTCGAACCCCATAGTTTGAGTCAACATCTTGATCAGGACCCTGGTAGGGACACACCAAGCAGGGACCCTTGTGAGGTGGGGGAAGAGGAGGTGGGTTGCCGGGTGCAGCCCCAGCTGTGGATTCTGATGGGATCCTCGGGGCAGCATGGTTTTCAAACTTTCCCAGGTGACTTCAATGTGGAGTTGAAAGTCAAGGCCAATCAAGGTGAAAGCCAAAGTGGGCAGGCTGGGTGGGGGAGGGGAGCTTTCTGTTGAGGGGCACAAAGCTCAGCCTTGCCCCATCTGTGTCATCCCAGCTCCCCCAAGAGAGTGCTTCTCAGGACAACAAAGGCCAAAAAATGCTGGCGTTGGGCAGTGGGGCCACAGGGCCTTTGCCTGGCCTGCCTTCCTTACAACACTCTCAGCAAAAACTGGACACAAAGTCCTGGGTGGGCAAAGGATTAGCCCTGTCCCATGCTCAAACCACAAACTATGAATGAATGAAAATTTTTTGATCCAATTCATAGTAGCTGAAATTTCCAGAAGTGTTATTGGCCTTCCATCTATTCACTCAGAGGGATGCCTTTGCTTTTTAAATTCATAAAACATTGAAGTGATTTAAAAATAATCCACAGCCCACTCTCACCCAGCCTCTGTCCATCCCACAGACGGGGGGACTCGCAGTGAGGACAAAAAGCCCGCACTGGGATGACATCCTTGGCTGGGAGGCCTGGGCAGAGCCTCTCCTTCCTGGACTGGGTTTGCTCATCAGAGCAGCCAGGCAGAGGCTGGGGCTGAGGCTGGTATTCTGTCCAGAGTGAGGTGCTACCGGCACGAGCCTCCAACTTTTCTAAATGCCTTGGGACCTTGAAGGAGACCCTTCCCCTGCCCAGCAATCTTGAACTCTCCCAGGTCGAGGAAGGGTGCCCCAAAGAACTGGCCTTGAGTAGCTCGCTGGCTACTTTAGTTAAAGGAGAGGGCACCCTGGGCAGTTGGGGGGGGTACCCACTTAGTGGGGGTTGAATCTTCCTGAGGTCCACACGCCTCCTTTCTCCTCTTCGCTCCTGGGGAATGGGGCTGCTACCAGGAGATGCGTCTCCTCCCTGTCCATCCTCTGCCCCAGACGGCTGAACTCTGAACTGCAGTACTGCTGTGGCCTCTTGGGGAGGGTAACCTGCTCCTCCCTGGGGACCCATTCTTCAGCCACCTGGCCAGGCCAGGGGAGATCAGAGACAATTACGGTGTCCACGCGACGCTTCCATGGCAGCTGGGAAGATGTCAGACCTGGGCTTCAGAGATCGGGCCAGGGCAGCCCCAGTCAGGGGCATTAGGGGGACAGTAGCTGAGCTGGGAGAAACAGGAGCAGCCAAGTGTCCCAGCCCAGGAAGAAGCCCGTGGCTCAGTGTTGGTGTCCCCTCCCAGGCTCTGGCTGCCCAAGGAGCCTCCCAGACCAGCCCCATTGTGTGTTTGCGGTAGACTTTGAGGGCTTGAAAGAGTTTAGAACTTTGAACCTTAGCGTCCAGGGCTTCCACCTGCCACCGGAAGCCCAAGGAGGCAAGGGGAGATGGCTCAGGGAGGGTCTCGTGCCTGGAAGGCACTGGGGTGAGTCACATTCCGAAGTTGCTGCTCCTCAAACCCTGGTTTGCAGTTTCCAGAACTTGCTGGGCTGTCTGCTCTGCTGTGAGTGACATCCCATAGTCTCCTCGGCCCCAGGAGGCTTTCTGTCTCTTGTGGAGGCTATTTGTCTCTAGATCCCTAAACTTGGTTCTCTTTTTAAAGAAATTCTCACTGTTCTTCCTCAAAGAGCTCCTGTAGTGTCACCCAAAGGAATCCCCCAGGTGCATGCAGCAGGAGGGAGGTAGAGGAGGAGAAGTTCCAAGCTGGGGCAGCAGTTAGTGCTGTGGCTCCACACAGTCCACACTGTGGAAGGTGAAACTAGCGTCACTAGAAGCTTTGTCCTGGGCCTGCTGTGTGACCTTGGGCAGGTCCTTGTCTGTCTCTGGGCTTGGTTTCAGAAAAAACAAACACAAGACAAATTTCTAAGCTTCATCTTGAAAGTCAAGAGGCTGTGACTTCTGAGGGGAAGCAGTGGTGGAGTTGTAGCTAATCCCCTTGCCCCAGGGTGGCTTTTCCTTAGAGAAAAGGAACATACCACACATACCCACAAGTGTACACTCGCTTCTTCCTGTCGCAAGAGCAGAGAGGCTTGGCCAGGGAAGAAGGCCGACAGGACACACCTGGCAAATTGGAGGTGCCCAGGCCGGCTTAGCAGGCGGCCAGGGGCACGTTGCCTTCTCTGGTCCTGGTTTCCTGCAACGCGGATCAATCAGTAACTGAATGTGAGCCCAGCGCCGCCCGATGGAACTCAGTGTCCTCTCTCTACAGCAAATAGTATTTCAGGTCTTGTGTCTGCAGACCAAATGGTCTCCACAGGTTCATAAAGTCAATCAGGAGAGGCCTGAGCCCCTAGACAGCCTCCCAGGGGCAGGAGTGGGAGGGCCAGGCTGAGGCTGACTGCTCTAGGACCCTTCCTGAAACCCCTCCCCAGCATCCTGGGGACCTACCAGGGATCCCCCATCTCCCTGCTCTGACCATCCCTTTGTGCCTGAGCCCCACTGCATACAAGCTACATGAAGGCTGGGATTGCATCTGATGGTTCGCCCATCAATCCCCAGGGGGCACATAGCCTATGCTCAATAA